TGCTTTATCATAAGTGGCTATTAGCGAACTACAAAAAGGTGGAGAAGTATCAGAACTGCGATGAAAGAAGCATTTGTCGGCTGTCTCTAGGATATCCAGAGCACTGATTCTCGTGAGGGTCCACATGCACTCGACTGTTGTATAAGAAACCCAAGTACAAGCAACTTTGCCACAGCATTTATATTGGTGACGACTCAGTTTTATCATGCCAGTTTTGCGGAAGATCATAATGCTTTCCGAAACGCTTAGCTTGTTTTAAGTGCGTGCTTTCGCGTTTACTGTGCGTCACTTATGCAAGCTCAGTGTGCTTATTATACCAGGACGCTCTGCCAGGGAGCCGAGCCGAAAGAACACGTTTACCTTTGAATCGTGAACTTTCAGCGAAAGAGGTTATTTTAAGTCTATTATGAGCTGTATATGTAGCCAGTCTGTAAGTTGCTGCCTGAAGGCACTATAACCAGTTTTTATTTTCTAATGACAGCTCACATTATGCTGCTTTCCAAGACATTAGTGCAGTGCAATTGCAAGCGAGCAAAATTTGTACCCAGTACATCTCTTGTCCGAATACGTTAATTTTGAAATAATTTGCAATCTCATACTGTTGAAAAAGTCAAATTTACATTGCGCATTTGTAAAGAGATACGCTATACTCTGCAATGGTGTAAACGTTCAGTGCAGGGCTACCTAGGATTTCTGGGGGGGGGCAGTGTGCAGAACAGCTCCAGAAAACATGAAAAATTTCGATGTGGAGAAGGTTCAGATTCCCTCCATTTTCCCTCTACTTAGCCTCCTGGTTTGGTGTGCTTTTGAGAAGGTATTTTAGCTCCCAGTAATTATAGTTGTTAAAATCTCCAAAGCCAAGCTCTCTTTAAATAACGCATTACCAGGTGTTCTAGACCATGCGCCGATATTCACAGAGCAAAGGTGCTTTGAAGCACATCTAACTTCAGGTAGCGCGTGTAATAATGCCGAGACTACAAAGCTTCAAGGTGGCCATCAGGTATTTTTCTCAGTTTTCATACTTATAGTAACCATTTTAACAGTTCAACTTCAAGAAAATAATCAATTTCTGATCTCTCACAAAGGCTTCTATAGAACTGAAATTCCGTACTTTGGCGTGTCATCCCTCAAGACAACATGTGCTAGACATGAATGATGGACAGGAAGAAAGAAGGCTCAGATCAGCTATATATTTTTTTCAATTTCACTACAATTAAATTTTTTTTTGCACCCCGTCAGTTTCGTTGTAGCGTGTTTCGACTGTATGTGCATTTATCCTTAAAGTAAGGCTTTGCGGCAGTGCTGATCTGCTTTTAAAAAGCATGTTCACCGTATAGCAACCCTCTGCTGCAGGAAAACCACCTTTACAGAGGTGGTATAGGTGGACTAATATACACTTATTTGTTCATTTTTGATACTTTGAAATTTGGAATATTTTAAAGTAGCACTGACATCAAATTTCAAAATCGAGATGTGCCCTTCATTTGATTGCTCAATGTGCTTAGGTCTTCTTGGCAAAATTTAGATCGCTTCCGTCACACGGAAGTTATTTGACATTGATGGCAAACAGCCTGGAAAATGGAGTACCCTGAAACATCACCAATAGCGCTACGTGTTCGGTGTGATACATTACACACATACTATCCTGAGTGACAATGCGGTAGCACCGATGACGTCTACTATGATCCGAGTGTTCTCATTGTGGCACTGACTCATGCCGAAGCCTGGAAACGCACTCATTCGTCATCTTCGTCGCACCACTTTGAATGATTTTGTCAAATTACCAAGACGCAAACCACCTATAAAAGAACAGCAAAAGAGAAGAACATGATACAATGTGTGCTGGTCAGTCAGCATTTTGAGGAACTGTTGTGAGATGCAGCCGTATGATTTGAAGCGAGGAAAAAGCCCAATGAGTTTGTCTTTTCATTACACGTATGTTGCATGTCAACACGACCACAAGCTACCAAAGTGAGGAAGCGTATAGACAGACATCATCGCTAACATCTAACACGGTATCGCTAATAATGAATTTTAGTTCATTCGTAGAGTTCTTTGCGTCTGCGTAATACCAAGTTATACAAAGTAATACAAAGTCATAGGTGTTCCTCCTTTTCCCTATTCGAAGTCGAGTCGGAGAGCACACATTAACCCTCGCCGAGCGGAGATTCGTTTTCAGTGTCCGTATCATCCGCATCCCACAACATGTCATCCCCACTCCCATCTAGTGCGTTCGAGGTACCAGTCTTCTTGAAGCTTTTCCTGGTGACTGTCGTAGATCGCCTGCCACGCTTCCACGATCCAAGCGCACAACATTTCCACAGGCCGCTTCTTAATCTTCACACCTAGAGTCAGCTGATATTGACCTCCAGCCATCCAGGTGGTGTACAGCCTTCGAACATTGTCCTTAAAAGGCTTATTCAAGGATACATCAAGTGATGCCGCCCGGAATCACTGCCAGATCTGTGTGCAGTTCCTTTAGCTCATCTCGTACGCGGTCTACTAGATGCCCACGAAAATTGTCCAGGACAAGCATGGACGGGAGCAACAGACCGCCGACCCCGACCGCAGACTGTTTTCACCCAATATATCATGAGTTCTGCACTCATCAAGCCTTTTTCCTGGACTCTGACGTAGATGTCTTGAGGGAAATTTGTCTTAGGGAGTGTCTTACGTTTAAAAATAATGTAAGGCTGTAGCTTGCGCCCGTCCGCTGTCACCACCACGATTACGGTGCATCGTTGTTCATCAGCGCCAGACGTTTTTCTGCTGTCGGAGCTTAATAACGAAACGATGGAAGTCCATCACTTTGTCCTCATATGCCGCATGAAACGAGTTGTTCATCCAGAGCTCTTTTGCTTCGATGCACTGCGCTCAGGCTATTCTGCGCCTCAGTCTGCACAAAAATTACCAATGACACAGCACAGCTGTCTTGTCGTAGCTCCCGTACATGCCGGACCAGTTGCTCTTCGGTGTTCGGATACCTGTCAGTCTTGGCACCGTGGATAGCCCATCGTGTCTTCTTCGTCGCCTTAAGTTTTTCTTCTTGATACCTCTAGTATCGAATACTGGTTTCTGCAACACCGAAATGCCTGCTTGCAGCCTGGTTGCCGTGCTCCAGCGGGTACTGCCCTGCCTTCAGTTTAAATTCGGCCATGTAGCTTCTGTACTTCCCCATGGTGGATCCGAAGTTGAGTACACGACCACAAAATACGCAAATACGCACACTGCTTGCAAAGTGGGGGTTTCTTTTTCTCTGATGGTGGTGATGGCGATCGAGCCCTCGGCGTTGTACACGTAACCTCCAAGGAGGTCACTTGTACAATTGATGGAACAGCCTTTTTTTTTTCGCTCATGAATGCTTTTTTTTTTAAGTTTTATTTTGACAAACGCATTGGTTAAATTGTTGCACTTCGATTGTTTTTTTTTTTTTTTTTGCTCGTCGATTTGCCTTTTTTTTTTCTTCAGGGAACGGGGGCCGCATTCCGAATGTACGTACCACTGGGGTGGTGAAATCGTTTCTGTTCACGGCCAAGTTTGGGGTGCGCCTAGTATGCGCGTAATTTAAAAAATCAAATTTTCCGTGACCACACTAGGGATGCACATATTATGCAAGTGCGCCGATTATGCAAGTAAATAGGGTATGAACAGGTGCTGCCTACGTGGTGGCCGCAGAAATCTTGGCCAACCGGTTTGGACATGCATGACTCAAGCACAAGCATGGGCACTGCACGGCCATTCTAGCTGGATGTCGGCATTGCCCATCAACTGTGCGTTATGACGTCCGAGAAGGTGTGCCTGAATAATGGAGGCCCCAATACACCTATGCACGTCCCCACTTTTCTATTACTGATGGGACTGGTGTCGTGAATTTTTCTTCCTTTTTATGAGAGTTGTTCATGTATGCTCTTTCACTGATGGTTGGCCGCACAGTTGTTCTGTGTTAACACCTGCTGTCTCCCAATTGGACATCCTCTGAAAGGTGAACAAGCACCAAAAGAGGAAGCAGACTAATTTGGCAAATGACCTAGGCTTTGAAACTTTAGAAATGCACACCTTCGAACTCCTCTGATTTGTTTCGGAGACTGCAAGATTTTGATTCTTGCCAAAATTACATCCCACTCCACCACATACATAATATTGGAACAGCATAGAACAGAGGTTTTAGAATGTTTGCCTTCTGGCCCTGCCCTGCCCCATCCCGCGTGCCTGCCTATGCATCTCTCCCCCTATTCTTTTTTCCTTCTCCCTGCTCTCAATTTACTTTCCCACCACCATACTGTACAATAGAAGACTATGCTCAGCATTGCCATCGTGCATGAAGTGGTTAGTAAGCTTGCATTCGCATTGTGGATATTTGAGTAAAATCATGCCTCGGCAAAAGAACTTTCTTGCCAAAATTTTTTTTTTATATTTCTTCTCTCACTCTGTGCTCATTACTTCCCCCATCAAGTTACTGCATCTCTCGCTAGATAAATCTATACATGTCTTCTGCTAGTGAAGTTGAAGAGGAAGGCGATGAAGAAGAGAATGACGATGGCACAGGCTGGTTTATAATGATAATTTTTTATCTACGACATGGGACCGACCTTTACCTTAACAGCTGTGCTGTAATTACATGTATGACAGTTTCCTCCTCTTGTACTAGTATGCTTACTTACTTGGCGAACCAGTTTTCCATGTTTCTTGGTTATACGAACGTTTTCTGGTGCAAATAATTTTTATCACTATATGGGATTCCTATAATCTATATTCTACTGTATATCCTACACACTGAAATGGCCTAAATAACTATGCTCAAAGATCGCAAAAGCTTTATTTTCACTTGGTCTCAGTCACCAGTATCATCACCTACTGTCACTTCCATCTCCTTTGCACTGCCATGTGTTGGCAACAATGCAACCCTAGCCCAAACTTTATATCCCCATTTCCTGTCTCACATGTGAGAAGACGTGGTGGTACACAAGACAATGCATGTAATCGAGCCACCCTATACTCACCAGCTGTGCAGATGTGGCATGATGAGTGGGGGGCCCAGGCGATGCCATTGACGCATGCCCGGTGGTTGTTGAGTCGTGCCACGGGAGTGCAGGGCACTCGCACATCAAGGATTATCACCTGGGAGGAGCGTGCAACGATTAAAATTTGCTACAGCTATTTTAAATGGGTTGGTCAACAAGTCTTCTAACTTTAACCCATTAAGGTCACCAAAAGAAAACAACTACTCATTGGATTTTAGATTTTTTCACACATTTAACTAACTGTAATAGCAAATTTTGTGCAACTTTTTTCTAAAGTTATTATATTGCACTTGAAAACTAAAAGACAAAACGCTTCTTCGTGTATTAGTGAAATACAATTTCAAAATCCTGAAAACACCACCCTTATCAAGACACGACACTTGGTAAGCTAGAAAGCACGCAACAAAAAGTGGGGGTGGAGACGCCACCTTGAGATTTTCGCACAAAACACTGTGACGTCATCAATCGTTGAAGAAGCCCACTTGGTCCCACGTAGCTTCTAATCGATAAAGTTGAAGTACATTATAATTTGTGGGTGCCACAGACTTAGCATACCACGTATAAAAAATTTAATCGATCCAATGTTGCGAAAATATGAAAAATAGATTGTGAAATTTCTTACAACACGCATGGAGGTTAGCTTGATTTTTTCTGCAAATAATGAACTTACGACAGTGAAACTTAAGACACTAGAGTTCTCAGAGTGAAGTTTATCGATTTTAACGAACTCATTGTTTCTCTTTAGTGTCCCTTTAGAAAAGTATGCAGGGCTCTCGACATAGCAACTGGAAGCTGGTCTAAAGCACAAATGGAGAGTACGCCTAATGAATACCAAAGCTATTTTGGCCCATGCAACTTATTGAAGAACCAGCACTTTATGTAAGGCAGAACGTTGTGCTTCAAGCAACACCATTTCGATGTATTCTGGCAGACGTCACTTGTTTTCCAAGCTACTTGTGAAAATCTGCATATAGATAGAAGGTAATAGCAAGCACAGCGGATGCTGGAAATCTCTTTACATAGTGTAGACCACTTATAACGTAACCGCTTATAGAGCAGAACCGCTTACGATGCAGTCTTTTTCTACTCCTGTTTACCCTCCCATAGAACCCCATGTATACGCATACCGCTTATTGTGCAGTCCCCCAAGATGAAAGACCGGTCATAATGCAGTTGCTGGAAATTGTTTGTGACAAATGCGGTAGCAAGTGCGCTTCCATAAGGAGGCGTGCTGGGTGCGCCGGTGGGGAGCGAATGACGAGGTCCTTACGGAGGGGGAAGGAGCACGGAGTGAACGAACGAAGGGCGGAGGGATGAAAAAGAAAATGAAAAAAAGACAGTGGGACACTGCGCGGGATCGCTGAGTAAGAGAGGAAGCAGGTTGCTTCGGTGACCGATAAGTCTTTGCACCGTCCCCGATGTGGCTACATCGTACTATGTCGCTAGCGTGGCTTCGGCCGCAGCCGCTCATCGTGGCACGTGCGATCCCGTTCTTATCAACTGCATGCGCTTAACAGTTTCCTGCTGGAAAAGACGTCGCTGTTATCGAGCTTGCAACAAATACCGTGTTTGTTCCTCGTCCGTAAATTGAAAACCTTTTACAGTATTATGCCGCGAGCTTTCACTTTTGCTGCCAGTGCGCTGTCGTACGTAAGCTAGCTTGGCGAGTTGTCATCGTTGCGGATCTCCCAGCTGTGAACACGAACTTCGTATCACGCACGCTGTTTTTGGTTAACTGCTAGCGCGATCTTTTTGATGCTGAATCTTCATGTTTTGGAAAAACTTTCCGCGACAACATACCAAACGGCAACCTAGGCCTAATCGGCGTTGGTTGCGCTTCAATCGGTATATAGCGGTCGTGTGAATCTAAGTTGCGGTTTGGTACCTAATCAACGAAACTCTCTGCGATGGCTGCACTTGACGGGGAAGGGATACACATCGTTAAATGAAAACGAGGGCGGCACGTGTAGCGCTCAAATAGTGGCCCGCAATTCGATTGCGATGTCTTAAATCGGGTGCGCGTTTGTGAAATCGAGTGGTTGGCGTCTTTCATCGCGTCAAATTCAGGACGTGATTCAACAGTTTCTGTGCAATGCACATAATCGAGGCTGTCTGGTAGTCTGCGAATTTCTGCGACGGTGCTTTCATTTGTTAGACCCCCCACCCCCCTTTCGTGTTCATTTCATTGGCAATGCGAGTCTTTATATGTTACATTCTTTTAACATTCAGAAATTTAAATGTTAGCAAGCACACATCCCATGTTCCGATTCTCAGACACGAGAAGCTGCATGCTCAACACGTTTTGCGCTAGTGCGGCCCTTGAAAAGGGTTGGTTTAGTTATAGTGCGGTACTGCTTATAGTGCGGATATTCGTGACTCCCGCGACTTACGTTATAAGCGGTCTTCACTGTACTTCTGTTAGGTACAGCAAGGTGCAGTGAATGTCTGTATTATTATTATGGGACAAATGGACGATACTCAACAAGCAGAGAGTCAGCTAAAAGCCGCAGCGCAGTAGCAGACCATGTATGCATTGTTCACGGCAACTTCGATCATTTGGGTAAACAGGAACTCGTACCACTTATTCTCGAGGGTGAAATTTCTGTACCTATTCGCAGCAGGAATAAATATATCCAGCCACTAAAATAACAAACACAGGAAATAAGTGGCTAGTTCCTTTTTCCTTTTTCGTTTTCTTTGTTCATTATTTAATTGGCTGGATATATTTTTTTTTGATGCAATGCACCAACTAGCCCAACAACGAGTGCTATTACCTATTCGCAGCTTGACCATACTGCTCAGCCTCTTCCATGTCATCTACTACTCAAAAAGGTTGGAAACAGCACTGCATTTTTTTTTTCTTTATTTTCAGTGATGGCCATTTGGTTACAGAACATAGCAACTTAACTGTGTTGTCATTCTTCAGCAGAGCAACTATGCTTTTGCCTTTGGTCTACACGAAGCGAAATTCGTTTCCTGGATCATAACAAATACTATAATCCCCACGTTCCTTTCATTTTAGAAATTTTTATCACTGGCAGAGAACATCTATTCATACAGTCATTGCCCTCCTCCTCCCTGTTGGGGTCAGAAGCAACCATAAAAATGTCGAGATCTCGTATATTCGCCGCCTCGTGAGTCTCAGATAATTGAAAGAACGGCATCCCTACTACGAATATAGCTGGTTAAAACTCTGAAGCAACACACAACGATATGCTCCCACGAAATCTCGTGCCATGCAAAGCACACTCGCATTTGATTACACGTCAGAGCTGAACTATGCTCTCTATACAAAAAGAATACAGCGAGTTCACTGTGTGCCGTCATATTTAGGCAACATGTCGTGCCATGTGTCGCAAGCACAGTGAACCCACACTCTGAACTACCATGCTAGCATATGCTCCGCAAATCAAATGCAAAACTTCTCAAGTTGAATCTGGCTGTAAGCATGTTTTGCACTTTCCCTGTCCTGGAAATTTGTGCTGTTTCCTTGCGAAACATTGAGGCGACCTTGCTCGACAGTTCGAATTGTTACAACACGTGCATTGCAGTCTGCGTCAGCAACTTTGTCAGGTATGTATCCTCGCGATGGAAAGAAACGTGAACATTGGAAAGTGTGACTTTTGGCTCAGCCGAAATGCATCATGCCTTCTCTGTCAAGGCATAGGCAAAACTTGTGCATTCAGCCGGCATCACCGTACAGCTAGGATACCGCTCCAGCTTGCGCTCATACACTGCATGTGTTTATCATTTGCCAGTCACGCCTTGCACTCGGAACACACATGCAGTGCGAAAGTGCCAGCCAGAGCACAATTTTATAGTGCTAAAACGCAAAGATAGGGGTGTTGTGAGCACGGGATTTAGATGCAAGGATAGGGGTAATGAAGGGGAAAGAAAAAAGCCCCTGCTGAATGCCTCATTTCTCGAAACCGTGACAGCCCGCTTCCCGTCTCCTAATCCAGCGTTACGGGCCAGCACAAGTACGGGAGCTTAACCTCCAAATTGTTGTCCTTCTATTCCTGGCATAGTGGCAAGCTTGGTGTTGTTATTGGCATAACTGGCAAGATGGCGACAGTGTAACCGTCACCTTAACCTAATGATGCAAATATGGTGCCTTGCCGGTCGAAACCACGTGTTGTTATTGGCATAACTGGCAAGATGGCGGCAGTGTAACCGTCAGCTTAACCTAATGATGCAAATATGGTGTCTTGCCGGTCGAAACCACGAGATGAATATGCAACAGTGATTTCGCTGTATCTAAGCAGAAACATATTGTTGCTTTCCACACCTGTAGCAGCTGCCGAGGCCGGGAATGAAACCCATCCTTAGCAGCGTGACACAAATCTGATTTCAATTTTCATGTGACAAAGTGAGGGTGCTTTTGGCAGATGCAAAAGTACATTTCTTTCATCGTTTTTCCAGAAACATTATTGATAATGCTGGAACATTATCGATGCTACATTCATCTATAACTTGAAATGAACAAAAATAAAATATGGCATATCCACGAAGTGAATTATGATGAATGGGCAAAAAAATGGGATCATTCGGTGGTTACCACATATCACCCATGACACTGAATCCTCATGCATGTAAATGAGTGACAAAGCAGTGTACAGTTACATACCCTCAAAACTCTTTAAAACAAAGTATAATGTTTAAGAAGTTTTGAGTTATACACTCATAACTCCTTAAAACAAAGTTGCATCAATACTGGTTGATGAGATTGTAACATCGATGAAAGTCGAAAACTGAAACCATGCACAGCTTTTGCAGGCTACATCAAGTTTTGTTTCTTAGTAAAACAAATGCTATAGTGGTAGTCTAAACCACAAAAATTGTCAAATACAATATTACTATCACAGTTTCCTCAGCTTTGTTTCTATGCCTGAAAAACCACCCCAGTCGAGCAGAAAAGTTGGTCTGTTCCAGCAACACTGGCAGGCCGGTGCTGTGAAACCAAATTTTGTGGTTTCATTGATGCCAAACGAGCTACTAAAACAAACATGAGACGTGCTTCACACAGAAAAACAGAAGGTCCTTGCTGTGTCTTCAGTTGCGTTTAGGTGTTCTGTGTTGTATGTAAAATGAGAGCCA